TTACCAATATTTTTTTTGGTTCCATTGCCTAGAGTCAAACAGAAACTTGTTAAAGAAGAGAGGTTAGTTTTAATTAACTTAAGAGTAGTTTAAGTAGGATATCTATTGACCATAAAAATATGTAATTTTACAAACCCAGAAGATTTTCCAGAACAAAGTGGATGAAACATTCATTTCCTTAATCAAAGGTTTCATTTCAACTAGCACTAATTTCAAAATTATGTCATGAATTTGAATTAGTCATATTTTTCTATAATTTTATATATCTGTACAATTGATCAGTAACTCTTTACAATTACTTTTAAAATAGTCAACGGATATGTGGATTTCATATTCTTATTAGTTGCTGAATCAGAATTCTATCATTTAAAATTAATTCATTCATATTAATAATACATTATTAGGTTGATAAAATAGACTTCAGTCAATCAAGTAAATAGTTCTTAAATGATTGCTGTCTCAACCTTGAACTAATTCCTGTTCTAGCTGACAGTATTTATCATTCATAATATCCCGCTCTCATATTTCTTAATAGAATATAACGTTATCAAAAAATCAAACAGAATTTCATACTTTAGTCATTACTGGTACTTATTTTAAACAACATATTATTTATTAGTCTTAAATAGTAATAGACATGTAAAAGACTATTATTTGACTCCAACTACATATGCTTCCGGTTCATTTTGGATATTTGCCTAAGCTAAAACCCAACGTATAGTTCGGTTTATTTGTAGTATGAGATTTTCAAAAGTCAAAATCGAAACTATGTCGAGGATGATTAATCCCAACCAAACTAGCTCAACAGATCAAGCATCTATCAGACAGACCGGCCAAAACGAAGGGATAAAGATTGAATATGAGTGTAAGCATTTATACTCTGACAAGAACATAAGTAGTCAATTAATTATCTGAGTTAACGTAAGATGATTGACGGGTTTGTAACAACACATTTATTCGACTCGTATTTTATCTGCTCATGATGAGATAGCTTTGTATGAGCATGAAGAGATTAAAAAGGAATTTGATAAAGATATCCTAACTAGATTTCCTGATGATTCACCACTGCTTTCAAATATTGAGTTTGTCAAACTGAAAATATTAACTCTGAATTCTATCCAGACACTGAGATCTTAAATGATATTTGTAGTACACTCTATTGGTGATCACTATCAATAAAAATTAAAACAACTTGATCTATTTCATTTTTCATGTGAATTTTGTTTAAACCAGTTATACTGAAAGTATTTTCACATATAATGGTTCTTAATTCCGAAGCTAAACATGAAGTGTTAACAGAAAATAAATGAAGATTAGTGACACTTAAGTTTTTGACTACTGAAATATCTTTGAAAGAACTAAATCAAAATGACCGAATACCTTCCTAATGTTCCATTTTTCAAAATGATCGGTTTAAATTTTAAACATCGGGCAGTATGAGGTGTATTCAATTTTCTACATGTTACAATTTAATAAGGTATTACTGAAACTAAATGTTATCTCTGCCAGAAAATTCCATACTTCACTGAACCTTAGAATAATAAGTCTAATCTACAGTTCACTTTTAGGCCCAGGACAGAGTGGGTTGGAGAAAGCTGGTCGGCGGCCTATGCTCCATTGGGAGTAACAGGCGTAAGTAAGTACAGTTCACTTTTGAGAATAATTTAAGAGTAATTTTATGTCACTGTGCTGACACCACAAATATGTAACGAACTTTTTTCTGGATACTTGAAATCAATGGAAATTTTAACCATTTAATTCTGTGGAATTTGAATTAATGAAAACAACTTAAAACTAAGCTTCATTACATCGAGTTATTTAATTCTATTATAGATTACTTTAATTGTACATCAGTTTCTTAAACCGTTATTTGACTGTTAAAATTTCACTTCTTCGGAAAAATCCAATACTCATGACTCATTTTAAATATTACAGTTGTTATTTGATCTACTAAAGAAGAATATTTTATTTGAACTATTTTCATCCGATTCATCAGTCAAGAAGAATATGAAACAACATGTAGAACAATCCATTGAAGTCCTCCGAAAACTGAAGTTGTGATGAGATATTTAGATCTATTCCACTACTAACGTAGGGATTTATTTCATCAATCAAAATTACCTTTTTGTCTGTTTTTCTTATTACTCAAATTTTCATATCTGATAAAAAATGTTGTTGACTTCTTTTGAAAAGAATTTTTTAAACTAAGAAAACTTTTAAGTTCAGTTGGTATTGTTTGTTTGAATCTTCCCATTGATGCTTAGCACTGCAATTGATCAGTCCCTTATTGGCATATGTGCATACTGTGCGAATTGCCTCGATATAGCTTTAATTCCCAAGGACGCGCGATTCGTCCTATTTGAGACTCCTCAGCTAGTGTACCCGCATCTCAGAGTTGATGTCCACTCTGGAACTCGAACCAAGTACCTTTCACTTCAAACGCCATTGCGTTATCCACTCAACTACTAAGTCTTGATAGCCACTTCTTAGAGTGAACATCAACTCTGAGATGCAGGTACATCCAGCTGACGAGTCCCAAATAGGATGAAACGCGCGTCCTGCATTCCACTGCTAGCCATTATCCATCTTTTATTTGTAAGTAAAATTTTTTTCAGGAACTAATAATCCAAACAAGCATATATGACAACTTAACAAGCTGAATCGATCAATGTTAAAAAAAATCCCCCTCAGGATAATCAACAAGGCAATTATATTTTAGAGGCCAATAGGTCATTTTTTGAATACTTGTGAATACTATTCATTTGAAGTTTCTTTAAATTCGAAACTATGAGTAATTTAATTAGTTTTGGTCTTTCTCAGTTTCTAAAATATTTCGGAATAATTGTAAATCTCATATTGTAAGTGAAGTAATTTATAATTAAATGTTTATTTATTGATCATGTAAATTCATATGATTGTTTTTAAATCGATTTAGTCTGATTAGTCTGATGTAATTTAAGTGTTTTTCTTCATTCATGGTTAGTTGGTTCGTTTAATAGTTTGGAATTCCATGTCTACCTAAAAATAAATAAAAACAATTTCACTTGGATTTGATTGAATGAAAATATAAATGTTCCGTTTCACTGTAACATAATATTCAAGTTAAACTAGTGAAGTTGTTAAATTTTCTTAATTTGGACAATAATTTTGGAAATATATAATTCTATTGAATGATGTCTTGATGATTAAAGCATTTGACTTTAAACCATAGGGAGGTGGGTTCGAACCTACTCAATTTTGTGTTAGTAGCTTTTATACAAGTCCAACTGAAGGCGGAGTAGGTAAATTTTCTCATTGTTTTAAGATTTTGTGATCCGTTTAGAGGTGTACTAAACAAATTTCATGCCTTTTCCTTATATGAGTTCATGTTCGAGTGATTAAAGTTATGTAGAGTGATAAGATATTATGTCCTATTCTCTTCAGTCTTCAAACACCAGTTACTGTACTGAGTAATGTCAGTTAGCTAAGTGGTCACGCTAAAAACAAGATCAATGTGGTTCAGTTAACGTCAAGAAATATACAACTTATAATCACTTTATCCCAAGTGACCAAAAGTTGTAGCTAATTGCATCAAGGAATTGGCTGAACCTCTGATGGAGTTACATAGACCAAAAAACTTCAAACAAAAGGGACTTGATTGATTTTTTATGATCACCCATACAATATGAAATATTTGACGGTTACATCACTGTCTGTGATAACGGATTTTGATTAAAAGAGAATGGCTTTCTTGGGGATTCATATGTATTTAAATGTATGCCACTCACTTTTAACTTCTGAATACAAGAGCAGTGCGGCATTCAGTAACTTAGTGAACATTTTGTATTCTCTTGCTTACATAACTTACTCAATTGCAATCAGTACCAGATAATATTGATTAACATCTGCATAATGTCCTGTATATTGATGCTTTCCTGAGTAAAGATTTTTAATAAATATGCCATTATGCAGATATGATTGATCACCTTATAGGGAAAATAGTACGATGTAGTCAATGAATATTTCACTTATATGTAGACCGACATTATTATTTTAACCAGTTTATTAGTGAGTAATTTCCGTTGCAAAATAAAAATATCATAAAACATCAAGTGCATAAGAGTTATTTTTCCATCAGGAAAGAAATGAACATCTTGTTTTGTCATATCAATCGAGGAATTTTAGACAAAAAACAGGTCATGCTTGCTCTATAACTGTCACTGATGCTAATTCGGTTTCTGCTTATAGAATTATTGGGTTTCAAGCATACTAACTGCTTTGATTTTAAACTATTTGAGGTAATCTATAGAAAGCTCTAAATTTAAGTATCTTGTCGTTTGATATTTCCCAACAAGGCTTGTCTCCAATAGCTCATCCAGTAAGGAGCAAGCTCGCTTCAGTCAGAAACATTACTACGATGGTGTTCAGGAAGTTAATTATTAAATTGTAACTTTTAAACAAAACCACATCTTAGTCTTACAGGAGTTCAATCACTGACCGAACACAACAGTAATAACGTACCTGGAAATGATACTAAGGAACACAAAGTCACAATTCGCTAAAAACTTCTATGGTAATGAATGTCAACTGTCATCAGATCAAAGGTTTCCGTTGGTTTTTTTCAACCACAGAACATCAAACATAATCTACTACAATGACTGTCACAACACAACTTCATCCATAGAAACGAATCTTCACTAAGAAATAAGTGTCTAATAAGCTATCAATTGGTATTTACTGACTACTTACTTAACTTGTGTTATCTCGGAGAAGAGTTCTGTAACTACAACTCTTAGAATGTGTTTGGATATTATTCATTGTATGTAATCTCCGGGTCGGTTGGTTTTGTAACTGACGCTTCAAATTTTGACTGGAAAGCGTTTATAGTGAATGATTAATTCAAAAAGACCGATTTGTAATACTGCAAATGTACTTATTCTCATATGATGGAAGTTTATTTACCGCTACTGGTTTACTTGTCAATTTCTGGTTTGCTCATTCTTCGCTTTTTATATTTACAGTACCACGACCGATAATGTCTGCTGTTCAATCGCCATGCCAATTGCAACCCCCTTCTCTTACCCTTCAAAGTGGCATGAATACTCCATTATTCCACACACCTAAGTTACTACGAAACTCAGCGATTTTAAAGGCACCAATCGCCAACGCGCCTGGTGGAATGCAATATCGTTGTGAAATTTTAATTTCAAACGACCTAATAGGATGCGTGATTGGAAGGGGAGGTAATAAAATCAACGAGATTCGGCAGGTAAGTAGACCTTTTATTAAACAAACATAAGTCTTAACGTTTTTTGTAACAAATCACTTTTTTTAACTAGCTAGTAACTTCCTATTATACCCTAATTAAGTGTACTCCAAATCTCAAGACTTTTCTTTTGATCTCTGTTCAAGTGACTGTACCAAATTTAAAAAGAATTACTGTAGGCATAGATCTCACAGAACACTATTCGAAAATCCATTTTACAGTAACTTTCTAACTATTACTTTGAATAATCGTCGTAAATAGAACAGAAAAGATTTATAAACGTATTACTTGTTGATAAGTCTAATTTTTTATCACTAGTAAGTAATACTGGTATCGTGTCATCATTCAGCAGATGAAATATTAGAAATCGGAAAATTTTAAAACCAATAGAATTAACTCACAGCCAGTAAATCAAGTTGAATGCAAAATAAAGAGAATGTCACTGGTATATTCCTAACTTTAATAGAATTCATCATTTCATTTATTATCTCACAATTCCTCTTCAACTTTGCCATCGATGACATCCTGGAAACAGCTCTGATGGATGTAAGTAATGGCGGTGAAGATATGTTGCCTGGAGAACGACTTCTCGACCTCGAGTATGCGGATGATATTGTCTTACTGTGCGATAATGCTCAAGCCATGCAATCAGCACTTAATCAGTTGGCAATCAGTGTCCGCAGGTACGGTATGTGCTTTGCACCCTCCAAGTGCAAAATACTCCTACAAGACTGGCAGGATTTTCATCCTGTACTCACCCTGGATGGTGAGCAGATTGAAGTAGTTGAGAAGTTCGTGTATCTAGGTAGCTATATAAGTGCTGGTGGTGGCGTGAGTGATGAGATTGATGCACGTATAATGAAAGCCAGAGCGGCTTATGCCAATCTGGGCCATCTTTGGCGCCTTCGTGATGTTAGTCTGGCTGTAAAAGGTCGGATCTACAACGCGTCGGTGAGAGCAGTTTTGCTCTATGCTTGTGAAACCTGGCCTCTCCGAGTTGAGGATGTTAGACGTCTCTCTGTGTTCGATCATCGTTGTCTCCGAAGGATTGCTGACATCCAGTGGCAACACCATGTTAGTAATGCAGAGGTTCGGCATCGTGTGTTCGGGCGCAGAGACGATAATTCAATTGGTGTCACCATCTTGAAACACCGACTTCGGTGGCTTGGACATGTTTTACGAATGTCGTCCCAGAGACTTCCACGTCGTGCATTATTTGCCGACTCTGGGACTGGTTGGAAAAAGCGGAGAGGAGGTCAGTGTATGACATGGTGTCGTGGCATGAAAGGAAGCTGCAAAGGGCTAGCTTCTGTTGGTCCTTCACGACTCCCTGGCTGGGGTCCGAGAGATGGTGCAACACAGTGGCTAGAGACGTTATCAGATATGGCTCAGAATAGAAGCCAGTGGCGATCCTGCTGCAACCTTCTTTTACTTTCTACATAAAGAATGGTTCTAACTTTCTTAACTGAAAGAGTCTTCTGGTTGTACATTTCAGTTCGCCTTATCTTTTCATCCCTTCTCTTCCTACTTTCATTATTTTGTGTGGCGCATATGTATCTGGTGCCCTTTTGTACCAATATATATGTGTTTAAATAAATAAATAATAATATTCCTAACTTGAAAACCTAGTAGTTAAGTCTGGGAAATCAACGTAAAATGAATAAGTAAGAATACTAGCATGTTAATGATTAATAACTGAAATCAACGCCATCCATACATTGTATGATATGCCAAGTTAGGTTGCTAAGATAAACAAACATAAATTGGTACACAGGTGTGCGAGATGAGTGCTTGAAACTTGGTTATTCTGTTTAAACCAAACAGAACTAATTATCAGAAATTGTAAGTTAACTAAATAGTTTAAAGTATCTACGTTTCTCCTAGAGAAAATGCTTACGTGGTCGAAATAGAACAATGAGTTTGACATCTGCACACCATGTTCGATAATTACTTTCGAAAAACTTAACACTCTAAGGCAACAAATTAGTCATTTCACACATATTTTACAAAAGGCAAATAAAACCTTCAATTTTTTTCTCGATCAACCAGCTACTTATTTTATCTTTTCGAGAAACGATAAGTAGATGTAAAATAGCAAGTATGTTTTGTATATCGCACATCGTTGAGGTCAAACTAGTTTACATCTAAGCTAGGTGAGTTAAAAACAAATCCCCCTGTCATTTTGATCAACTAACGCTTATTTTAGTGTCACATAACTTGATAGTGTGAAAGGCGAACAAAATTCATAAAATGTATTAGTGAATGTTGATTAAAAGATTAATATTTGAACGAAGAATATTCTTTTCGATAAATTCCACTTGATCGAATTGTATTTGCACTATCATATCTCTCTCACCCTATCTGACCCATATTTATATTCTGATCACAGATCTTAAATTTTCACTTTACATATATACAGATTCAAGTTAACATTCTATATGAGTTATATCAACATTAACAATTTTATTCTATTTGATTTGACATTCCTTAATTTACATGCATTAAACGATGTACTTTGCCTTTAACTTGGCCATTTTTTCGGATTATTAATTTGGATATATAATTGTAGAACCTGAAGAGAATTTATCGAAAAGAATATTCTTCGTTCAAATATTAGTCTTTTAATATGATTGGGATTTTTAAACGATTAGAATGTTGATTATTAATAATAAACAAAATCTATACTCTTATAATATGAGATATGATTCAATGGTTTGAGAAATTCAACTTCCGTTTTTCTCTTTAAACTAATTGTCTGAATATCTGCGGTAGTATAAAATATCCTAGGGTTTCACTTACTTATTATCAATAAGTCTTGGAAAGGAAAAAAAGTGTCTAGGGAAAGTTTTTATTTTCAAATACTTTTTTATGTTAATTATAGAAGGGGTTTTGTGGAGATTTAGTATTTATCATTGTTGAAAGCGTGTCTTTATTTGATTCGAAAATATTCTATCATTAATTTACTTAGGACAGTGTAAAAACACTATCTTCATGAATAATTTGGTTATACTTCTACGTTAAATTGATGGAGGTAACCACATGTGGGCTGTTTTGCTGAACTAATTTTTCCACAAAGTTCTGTGCCAAAATCACAATTCACAGACATTGATAAGATAACTTGAGTTTATTTAAGCCTAATTAATTATTATTTTGTAAGTATTTAGTCTGCTGTTTAATTATTATCTATTTTCGCTAAACTATTTGCTACAGCACTGAAATAACAAATAATACTGGCGAATAGCATAGAAGGAATTTTAAATTTGTGGTCAGTATACAATATTATATTTAGTTAAATAAAAAGAATATCACTATTCACTTTTGTATGTAGTTATTCCTAACCAAGTTTAAAATTATCGAACACAAAACTTTCGGTAATGAATATATTTTTGTAAATGAACTAAGAGCATTCCTGAAGATTCTCTAAAGAGAACGTATGTTAGAGTAAAATAATGAAATTCAACAACTAAGCGTTTATCAGTATAGGGTTGTGGAGATTGTTGAGTTTAGATTGATATCATGAATGGACTAATGTTAGACCACCATTGGGAACTTGGAAGCGCTGAACGGCAACGCGCCAAACCGAAGGTCCCGGGTTAGAGTTCTGCGCAAGGCTTCGTGGATGCGTATCGCTTAGGAGTCGCATACACAAGACGAAACGGCTGTCCAGTGCTTCCAGGTTTTCAATAGTGGTCTAACATTCATCCATTCATTACATTAATCTAAACTAAGCGTTTATTTAGTACTTTCTGAGTCATGGCTACAAATACTACACGGTTATTTAAACAGAATTTCATGAGGGCTTAACATTTAAAAATCTGGTTTGTAGCCCACATATCCACACAAACGACGTTTTTCGTAAACCACATCAACATTATTAGTATACCTCCATGAATAACATGAATGCCACAGTATCATCACGTGTAACTGTCAGTTTTAGGGATTCATAACTGATACAGTAAATTTCACGGAATTGCACTTTCTTATCAAGTTATCGTCTGAGACACCTGTTACATAAATAAGTTTTGTATGTCAACATCAGGTTGAATACATATCGACGAACAGAATTATTGAAAAGATTTAGTAATCATACAACAAGTACTATAAAATGATAAAAAATTCAAATGGATAAAGCATATTACAGAACAGACTCATCAAATTTAGGAAATAAGGTGTTCTATTGATTTTAGATGTAAAACTTTGAATCTTCCCGTTGTTGATTTTAAGGAGTGAAAGTGATCAGTCTCTTTTGGCATATTTTTATTTATTTTATTTAAACACATATATATTGGTACAAAAGGGCACCAGGTACACATGCGCCACACAAAATAATGAAAGTAGGAAGAGAAGGGATGAAAAGATAAGGCGGACTGAAATGTACAACCAGAAGACTCTTTCAGTTAAGAAAGTTAGAACCATTCTTTATGTAGAAAGTAAAAGAAGGTTGCAGCAGGATCGCCACTGGCTTCTATTCTGAGCCATATCTGATAACGTCTCTAGCCACTGTGTTGCACCATCTCTCGGACCCCAGCCAGGGAGTCGTGAAGGACCAACAGAAGCTAGCCCTTTGCAGCTTCCTTTCATGCCACGACACCATGTCATACACTGACCTCCTCTCCGCTTTTTCCAACCAGTCCCAGAGTCGGCAAATAATGCACGACGTGGAAGTCTCTGGGACGACATTCGTAAAACATGTCCAAGCCACCGAAGTCGGTGTTTCAAGATGGTGACACCAATTGAATTATCGTCTCTGCGCCCGAACACACGATGCCGAACCTCTGCATTACTAACATGGTGTTGCCACTGGATGTCAGCAATCCTTCGGAGACAACTGCTCTCACCGACGCGTTGTAGATCCGACCTTTTACAGCCAGACTAACATCACGAAGGCGCCAAAGATGGCCCAGATTGGCATAAGCCGCTCTGGCTTTCATTATACGTGCATCAATCTCATCACTCACGCCACCACCAGCACTTATATAGCTACCTAGATACACGAACTTCTCAACTACTTCAATCTGCTCACCATCCAGGGTGAGTACAGGGTGAAAATCCTGCCAGTCTTGTAGGAGTATTTTGCACTTGGAGGGTGCAAAGCACATACCGTACCTGCGGACACTGATTGCCAACTGATTAAGTGCTGATTGCATGGCTTGAGCATTATCGCACAGTAAGACAATATCATCCGCATACTCGAGGTCGAGAAGTCGTTCTCCAGGCAACATATCTTCACCGCCATTACTTACATCCATCAGAGCTGTTTCCAGGATGTCGTCGATGGCAAAGTTGAAGAGGAATGGTGAGATCGGGCAACCCTGCCTAACCCCACTGCTCGAATGGAACAAGGGAGAAAGGTGGTTGTATGCCCTCACTCTGCCTGAGGTGTTCGTATACAGGGCCTTTAAGATGTCAATGAACATCTCAGGCACATCCTTTTTCAATAGACAATCCCAGAGAACAGTCCTGTCCAACGAATCGAAGGCAGCCCTGATATCAAGAAACACTACAATTGTTGGCCTGCGATAAGTATGACGGTGTTCTAACATTTGGCGGAGGGTGAAGATGTGATCAATGCATCCTCGACCAGAACGAAAACCAGCCTGCTCCTCACGAGTCAATCGTTCTCGGGTTTTAAACAACCTACGAAGAATGACAGAAGCCAATAGTTTGGACGCAATCGAAGGTAGACTTATCCATCGATAGTTGTTACAGGAACAACGTGAACCCTTTTTAAAGATAGGGACGACTATTGACTCATTCCATGATGTTGAAAAACTTTCTTGTTCCCAAACCTTTCCAAACAACACAGTCAATTCCTTAGTCAGAAAGTCACCACCATCTTTAAAAAGAGCCGGAGGTAAGTCATCTGGGCCCGGTGATTTATAACGTTTCAAGAGTTGGAGTTCCTTGCGGACTTCCGCCTCGTTTGGTGGATCAGTCGTCACCTGCCATGGGGGGCAGGACAAGCTGGTTGATGTTGCCGGAGCAGCAGGCTAGTTGAACTGCCCTTCGAAGAACTCCGCCCATCGTCCAAGACGTCGACAGATGTTAGTGATTGGCATCCAGTCATCCTCGTAGATTGTTTCACTCACACCAGACTTCTTGCTGCCAGTGGCTCGGATGAGTTGGAAGAGCTTCCGGCAGTTACCAGATGCAGCTGCTGCTTCCATCTCATTAGCACGCTTCGACCACCAGGCTTCTCGGTCCTTACGCAAGCTTTGCCCGATTTCATTACGTAACAGCCTCCGTTTGTAGTCAAACTCACGGTCACCCGGAGTAGACAGACGGGCTTCCATCAGTTGTAAGGAGCCAGAAGAAACCCAGTGCTTGTAAGCGGGACGTTTCGCGAAGCCGCAAGCGACTTTACTCGCCATTTTCATGGCGTCGTGAAGAAGCAACCAATGCTCATCTATACTTTTCGGTGGGGTGGTAGCTAGCCTAGAGGCTAGCTCCGCTCGATACTTACTTGCAACAGAAGTTGCAGCCAGTTTACTAACATCAATCCGTTGGTGGTGGTCAATCCTTCGGCCACTGAAAAGTAAGGTGAGATTGGCGCAGACCAGGGCATGATCAGACTCCAGATAGGTACTACAGAAGGAGCGGCAGTCTTGTACACAACCACGCCAGCGGTAGCTGATCGCGATGTGATCAATCTGAGTCCAGGCTTGGGATGCAGAGGGAGGACGCCAGGTGGCACACCGGCGATGACTGTGCCGGAAGTTAGTGCTGGCCAGAAACAGGTTGTGGTCTGTGCACATTTGCAGCAAACGATTCCCGTTATCTGTCCGGCGACCAACAAGTCCCCATCGGCCACCTAAACGACTCTCTTCTGTGCCTAGACGCCCGACCTGAGCATTCAAGTCTCCAGCTAATACTACAATATCTGTCGAACGTGCTTTCTGGAGAAGAACTGTTAACTGGTGGTAAAACTCATCCTTGATTGCATCCGGGCTGCAATTTGTCGGGGCATAGGCGGAGATGACGAAAAGACACCGTTTCTCACGCCGGTTTCTTCTCACTTTGATGGAACTTTCTAATCTAACAGCACATAACCGACTGTTAATGGGAATCCAATCAATTAGTGCTGCCTCAGCCCTAGTGCTTAGTGCGACACCAACGCCAGAAAGACCAGACGAAGATGCCACAGGGTCCCCGGATAAGCGCACGTGGAACAAGCTTTTCGAGGCGACAGATGGAGAACGGATTTGTAGTACTTCACTAGAGTCTTGAATACGGGTCTCGGATAGACAACAAATATCAACATTAAGACCTTCCAAAGACATAGCCAGCCCTATCTGTTGTCTGATATGCATTAGTGTGCGAACGTTGAAGGAAGCCAGCTTGAACGGTGTACGTGGTTTCAGAAAGACTGCTTCAGTATTCATAATCGGTGGAAGCATTCACTTTCAACCAGACAGTGACTGGAGATCGTTTAGATAGGACAGATTTTCCACCATGGGCGAGCTGCTGCATAAGTTGAAAAGTAAGGTTACACAAATTGGGGATAAAGGGGGGTGAGTTAGCGATATGGCACATAATAATAATAATAATAATAATAAAGGCAATAATAATAATAATGTAAATTGTCTTGCTTCTAGTATGAGCAGGAATAGTATCCTCAATAGAATTCATCATTTCATTTATGTGTGTGGGCTGTGATACTGCCCGGGTGCCCAAACCGAAGCAGGTGGTTTTCTTAGGGGGCCACACCCCGAGCCTTTGACCAAAAGGTCTGATCCACAAGGCAGTGGAGCATCGTGAGGAGATGCAGTCCCATGGTAGCCGTTGGCAATGTGTATCCCGAGACAATTGTCTTGATATTAATGTTAAGACAAATATGATGAAGCACGCGTCCTGGAATACATTGCTCGCCACTACCCAAATGTGCTTTAAAATATTGTATTGGTCGTATTCAAAGTGAGTACGTACTCTGAAGTAGTTATACAATCTGTTTAACAATTATCAGTGAGATGCTGTGGATATTGTTAGGTTTTTGGTTGATATCATGAATGGATGATTGTTAGATCACTATTGGGAGCCTAAAAGCACTGAACAGCCGTTTCGTCTTAGTACTCCCCGACACTGATAATTCGTATGTGCTCACTAGTGACTAGTTTCGTGAGGAAATTTTTGGAGTTCTAGTGAGAAGCCGTGACCAAGTGGAGCTAATCCGTGTCAGAGAGAGACAGGTATCTACCTCAGAAAATGGAAGATGGTCGCGCAATTTCGTGGATTGGTTGAAGTTAGACATTAGCACTGTTGGATGCCAACTCAGTGATTTAGGGGTTAAGCGTTTGCGCACCTGAACGAAGGTTCTGGGTTCGAGTCCCGTGTGAGGGATCGTGGTTGCGTACTGTTTTATTATAGGTGTTGTGATCTGTATTTTGAATGAATTGAACACAGTAATAAAAGTCAAAAATTTATTTTATGGAGACAAACAGAAGAATCTATTTATTTATCATATGAGCTAACTATTATTTTATCCGAAAAGCTGAATTCATGATAAGACACAGTCTGAATTTAATGATACCAAGCTCCTATAAACTGCATACTCGGATTATATGTATATAATCCATGGGAATTCGACAAGCAAGGTAATAGTAATTAACAGAAAACAATCAAATGATGATAAGCCATTCTGATCTGCATCAACTGGACATCATGTAAATGTGATGTAGAGGGCAACTTATAAAGCAGTAGCTTACACTCTGTTAAGTCAAACTACAACAACCAGAACATATATTTTTAAAAACTAAACCATGTTGGTATCACAGTTTTCATGATCACACTACACATCTGAACTCAAAATCCATTCGTTTTGTTACTTATATTCTGTAGGCTTCGCAGGCAAAAATCAAAATTTCTAGTGGTGAAGAGGGTATTAATATCCGCCGAGTGATAATCACAGGAACTCTGAATGCAGTACAGTCTGCTCATTCGCAAATTAGTAACAGGTGAGGGATTTATGGTCCCATTCAGATTTCTTCGTTTCTAAGGCAGTAAATTTTAAACTTTTTGTTTAACTTAATGTTACAAGCGAAATCCATCCGTTTCATTATACTGTGATAAGAACAAAACAGCTGATAATAAGAGGGAAGAAAAATATTCTGGTGTGAAAACAATTGGGGACAATCTGGGAGCTGCAAGTAGCCGAGACGTGTGTACCGAAACGGCAACATGTCACACTAAAGTATAGTATTATGCAGGTGCTTGCCCACATAAGCAGAACTTCTTTTGACTAAATTTAAATGAAAAGTGAAAGTTATTCAGTAAATATCATTTAGATTTTTAAGTAACCTTTATTTCTCTGGGATAAATAAGAATGTTGGTCAAGACATTTAAGATCTGGAAATCAATTATTCACCAACTTCGAAAATCTTGAAATTGAGTCTCCACATTTTTATAATGTACGAATTTACAGATGTGAAATCCATATTTTTTGTCACATTATTCACTTTATTAAATTTCTTACATATATTTAAATTTGGTTAGTAGAAGAAAATTACTATTGTTAATTTCTTAATCATGAAAAAGATTAAGCACAATATTACCTATTCTCAGTATATTTGGTTTCATTTAAAGTACCAGGGTACCGTATTGATACACTGAGTCAAATTCATCAAACGTTGTTACTCTGACGTGAGAATTTTACGTAAGTCAATAGTTTAATCCCATAATTAGGTAATAGCAATAAGACAATCGAATTAACTTTTAGGTTGGCCTTCATAAGACTTAGTTTATTTATAGTGATGAAAAATGAGTATTTTGATCTTTTTGCCTTATTCATTTGAATGACAGTATTGAGTTACACAAACATATATTGGCACTAAACATAGCAATGAAGAATGTGTTTTGCTCGAGGAATGACTTCAAAGAAGAGTTAACAGACCAATCTAATAAAACATCTAACCACTCCTCAGATGATCTAACTGAAAATTCTGGAATAAGCATTAATAGTGACTTCCAAAGTCACACTTCTAATCGAAAGAATCTACCAATAATAATAAACGACGTGTCTGCTGGATTATCTGATGCTCAAAATATGAAATCTATGTATTCATGTAGAATACAGTCAGACTTACGAAAAAGTCAAAATACCGTTCTCCATTCAGCACCCGAAAGAAGAGAAGCCGCATTCCGATACGAAAAAGAATGTTCGCCCTTCTGTTGGGATCGACAAGGCAGTGGTTTGCAAGTACCCAGAGAATCTAGAATTGGAAGTATCACCCAAACAACACGAATAAGTACACCAATCCTATCTGCTGACTTATTTAGACAGAAAGCCCATTTGGACGTAACAGACATGAAGCAACTAAGTCCACGTAATGTTCTTAATTTTATTCAAAAGCTGCAACACACTTCCCAATAACTTGGGATTTATCAAACATCAAGGAAAACGACAACTACATAGGATTTTAGTTATACCTTCTTTAAAGATCATTATTAATATTCGAACCATCTTTTTATGATATCCGCAAGTCATTAAATTATTTTTGATAGGTTGTCGAAAACTGTCGCAATAACTTACATATTCTTAAATTTAAAAAATAAGTGTTCACAGTTCTATAAGAAAATTCAATTCTTAACCTAGTTACTCCATCCATTTAGATTAATATATTATAGTTTCGTTTATGTCCTGATAAGTTTCAAGTCACAGATAATCAAAATCTATTTAGAATGATTACCGATGTGTGTACCGTGGATATTACTGGATAAAAACATACATATTCATTCAGTGTACCACTTTTCTTGACTTTCATTTTGCATCAATATTGTAATCAACCTATAATATAGTATCAGATGATTTTTCAATCGAAATTCAATTACTTCTGATATAATCATGCTTTATCACCAAGTTGATTGGATGCGAAACTACCAGCCATTCATGTTAAACATAAGTGAAAGATAAAATATTCGCCGACAGTTAAAGTACTGGTGAGGCGTCGTTGGGTGAAGAAAAACGGCTAACCACTAGCTCCTGATTTTTAATTATTTCGCTGAAGACTAAAGTCAGATGAGATGCACTCGTGCACTCAACCATAAATGATAAAGGACATGAAATGCTTCTTCATAATTTACACTAAGAGCACAATAGATATTTCCCGAAAACTTGTCGGTGTTTCTTTGCATTTACCTGGTTGAAAAGCTGACTCCGACTCAACTTTCCATTCTATGGTGAGCAACTTAGTGAGAGTATCAATCAGTTGTTTTCAGGAAGCATATTTTATCCAATGAATTACTTCTATATTTTAGAGTAATGGGATAAAATAAGCTTTTTGTGAACTGGTTAACCTATTTGTTTTAAACCCTGTTCATTAAAATCAATGATCAACCCATTAGATAACCACTTAGTTTAATAACTGATCAAACATATCCAATTGAAATGAACTTGATCAAACTCAAAGTAAACCTTAATAATCTTTAAGAAAAATAATATCACACGTGTATTTCACTAAGTTTTACTTAGTGGAAATTAGGATTGCTTTTTGACAATCAAAATCAATTTTTAAAGGGTAGTTTGAGTGCCCACAATAAGTAGGCCAACTAGGTATTACATATGAATTGATTTTCTAAAACATAATAATAACAATAGAGTTAATTTAGACCTGTGGAAGAGGTGGCTTTAGTACGTGCGATCACATACACTATTATAGAATGCATGCTGACGACACTACTTCGCGTGACAAAATTGGTTCGTTCACTCAAACTCCCTGCAAGAATTTAGCCCATCTGGACACTGAAACAGTTGTGATAATTCAGACTTAGTTTCGTGAGAAAATTACTAACACTAACAAAACTAAAGGTTGAGATATCTGTTGTGAAATTATCGTGCTCAGAAGCAAATATAAGTCCTTTGTACAGGTGAGGTTAATAAATTTGAGGAACGACTGGTTAGTCGAAAAGTGTCACGGAGAAACAACTGAGAATCCCATGCTAGGGAAGGTAACATACGTGAATGGTAGGAAATGAGATAGTACAAAGATCATTTAAAGCAGGTAGTAACCGCATTCCCAAAGGTCAGGGTGACTCAATAAAGAGTATAACTCACCACTTATCGTCAAGGGAATCAGGTTTCGTAATCAACACAACGCCCTTTGACATTGTTTTAGTTGAGCCCAAAGTAGCTGGTAAGAACATACTAGCTGGCCTTATTGCATTTCGATTTTATTCAAAAGATTTGTCTGTTGATATACACCCTTTTTAACTTACCTAACAAAGACGTCTCAACTGTCTAAATAAAACGAACTTCGATAAAAACCAATAAATGGGAATAAGTATTTGACTCAGTATACTCTGAATCACAATACACATCGTTAAACCACATAAAAAACCTTGTGACCACTGCTAAATGGGATTTTTAACAGCACGATCCAAGAAATCTGTTTAAAAGGATAAAACGGAGAATTTGAGTTCTTACACGGTCTAGTTGGTGGATCATCAAGTGCTAGCGAAACTATACGTTATTCCCGTTATTTGCCTTAGCAATGATGGGACAAAATAGAATATTCTCCACTAAAAACACCAGTAAAAATTCATTTCATATTGTTCGCGATATACAACAACAAAGTTGTTTGTGTTCTGAACGCTCAGGTTAAGATTGAGAATACAGAAATCCAATTAGATATTATAAAGTCAAGGTGCCTGTATGATTTTTGATCAAGTTGATTATCTTACTTATCACATGTGTACTACATGATCTCAATCGCAAATTAGGTGAATGGTGTACTTTTTATAAAAATTGGATACGAGTTTGTTAAATTGCATAGACAGACTAATGATAGGCATTTTTTCTCTACTTGGGCATATCAAAATACAGAATATGTAGAGAATGATTTTATTCACAAAATGAAAATTTTTGATCGTAAAACACAAACGTCGACTTCAAATGAAAATGAAGTAAAATATGCTCGTAAGCAAGAAACACTGGGTTGAAACGAGATGACAATAAGAAACAAAATTTTCCAAACTATAAAATGGAGACAAAATGTAGTGCCAATTCAACATCTACATATATCGAAGGACACAGTAAGTAGATAGACAGACATGAACCGTCTCCACAAAAGAGACACAAAACTACAGAAACAAATAACATGACGGGAGAGATGATAATTACGATTATATCTCACTAATCCAAAGAAAACACGCTTGTAAGGTTTAGAATTAAATAAGCTATACGAACAAATGTTTCAGGAATGAAATCCAAGGGAGCAAGTTTATTCTTTTCGTAAACGTCGTTTTCTAATAGACTGTTTTGCAGCCGAAGCTTTCTGAAATGGATAATATAAACTTAATAAAATAAACATGAAACTTAAGAGTGACTTGAATAACTATTAACCAATCTACATAAACAGTTTACCAATTTTAAAAGAACCACTACACTGAGGTCATTTAAGAATAACGATTAACTTAATATACTATACCTCGGTTTCTCCAGATTCATCAGGAGTTTCCTCTGCCGAGTTATCTCTGCTGCTCCCTGTTTTATTTGCGGTTGATTCATCGCCGGAGCCTTTAGAAACTTGAACGATATCTTCTTCGCCAGACTCTTCTAATTCTTCAGTTTCTGCATTTCTTTCACCAACATGTACATGAGAGTCGTCTGGTGTGGATGTGTCAGTCTTCTTGCGCATACCAATATCGTGTTGTTTGGATGGCGACCGGCACATGTAGATGCAGCATAAAATAATGGGTAATGTACAAACAAGGCCAACTACAAAAATAAGCCAAGGTTTCTCATTATAGGTTTCTCGTATAGCATCCACAACGCTTTGCTGTAAATGAAAAACAAATGGTCGATAAATGAAAACAAAAAGAATTCAATCAGTGGCACAGAATCTCTACAAACTGATATAAGACGTTTGAATTATTACTAATGTTGCAGTACAATCAGAAAACAATATGGCTGATGAACAATATCATATATGGAATTGATTTACAAGCTGGGATAGTACAGCTGTGACGGTGGGGGGAAATCCAGAAAACGGAAAACATAAACGCAGCTTCACATTGTCAAACAGAATAAATAGACCTTTACATAATAAGTGTAATTCAAAGATAAGAACAAAAGATTTAATACTTATTAACTGAATTGTATTACCTTATCTTAATGATAATACTATAAAATACCTAAAATCTAGCTACGTTTATGGTATGTCCCGATAACAATAGTGAATGGTAATTTTGAGATCCATTTATGGACCAATATTATGCATATATTTTTTTATAGTATAATTGCTAAATAACTTAACTATTCATATTCATGTTCCCCTTGTCATGAGCTTTATTTTGAACTATAAACTATTATTATACGATTTATCATTCATGAGTTATTCTTAGTCTATTAATTACTGCCTCCCACATTCACAGCCACATTTGCTTAAATCTTGTACAAATATTATTTTCTATTTTATTGGTACGATGTGATCAGACTGTTTGGTATATAAAATCAGTATGTTTGAAATACAATGATTCATACCACAGAGGCTGTTATCGATGTTCTGGGCTTAACTGGCTGGGCTAGGCAGAAAGCAAGACCGATACGTACTCTAGACTGCTCGTACGGTTTTTGTGTGTCACTGTTCCAATCGATAATTTGCTGCTGACTGACGGTTTTATCACGTCATACGTTAACAGGGCATCCACTCGATCACAAGTTATAACAGTTTATCTCTAAAGAAGAAAAGGAAACTCCAATATTCAAAACGAACAGGACTTACTGCTTTCGGATCAGCTAATCTTTCAGCTTCCTTTTTAATTGCCCATGTTTCTTGAGCAAATTCATCAGCCGCACGCTTTGAGTCAACAATCAAGAAGTTGTCAAAAGCAATGCCGTCAGTCATTGACCATAATTCTAGACCTATTGCGTTCTAGGAATAAAGTTAAGGTAATTGAATTATGAATATAAATAAACTTTTGGACCACAACAAACATATATTATTTGTTAATTTAACAGACATTTGAAATAGTTAAATATGAACGTGCATACAACAAACAACTTAGCAACAATAATTTACAAGCTATAGCATTGCTAAAAAACGAAAACAAGAAAGTGGTCACGAGAAAACTGAGAACCGAATTGCCAACAAGGTTTGAGAAAGTAGGATGCGAGGGATACAAGTTGTTGATTTCACATCACCGACTCCAGTAAAAGCTGTATGTTGCTAGATTATAATCTCAAAAAGACATCCAGCAATATACAACTCCATACTATGGGACAATAAATATAGTCACCAGAAACACAAACAAGATCATAAAAAGTAACGATGAGAACAATGGCATCATTCATAGAAACATAAGAAACTGACTGTGCGACTAAACAACAAAAATATTTAATACACAAAAATCCGATAATAAAACATAAACGTTATGTATGTATCAAGTCTTCAACACTTACTTCAGGAAGGTGTAACACATCAAGAATGAGAAAAATCAATTCCACATCACCTAATAAGCAGCTTTTTTACATGTTTATGTAAAAGCAAAACCATCGTTACAGTTATCAAACCACTAATGTATTGATTAGTGTGATTATTGATAATCTAAATCTATGGACAGCTTACATCGAGAAGAAAAGAACTATGGAGTTGTAAGAGTGGATGTTATTCATTCGTGAGTATTTGATCTTATATTTGCTGTTATAAATCTCATAAAAGGAAAAGGGAAGCTAGGAACCAACAATGTATAACACTGTCAAGTTAGGTGAAATCGTTTTTACCGTAAGCAGATGAATTTGTAGAAAATGATTTTGGCGTTATATTTTGACGGTCAATTATAATCACATCAAACTAGAAAAATACTTAACGAGATGAGTTGCAGAGTTTGTAGGGAGCATAGAAACCTCGTGTAAGACTTTGTTATGAAGTTTCCAGGATCTATCTAATCATTATCACGGTAGAGGTTGGGATGAATGTTTACCGATCCAAGTGGTGACACTTTAAATTAGCACACCAAGAGAAAACTGACAAGATGAGAAACACAAAATCGGAAGAAATGTGGAATGCTATAGAAATCTAAACCTGAGAAGTACAATTTAAAAGGAATAAACAAAATCAACATATTAGTTCGCCCGTTTGTGTAGAAACAGTTCTAAACTCATACAGCCACCCATTACTTCAATAACCATTGTTTTTATTGACACTAGATACAAAAACAATACGACAAAAGACCCATAAGATTATTGCAAAATCAAATCATTAAAACAAAAACACGTTATACGTCTTATACATTCGAATGACAAAACGATACATGCAACAATCATCATATAATACAACTTAAACTAAGTGCATCACCTACCACTTCAGCTAAGCTCTTGAATGGATCCTTTTCTTCAAAATAATGAGGGTTCGGAATTTTCCTTGGTGTCCAAATACCCTTATAATTTGGATTAGGAATCATTGGAGCAGACCATTTGCCCTTGTATTTTGGATTTGGTATAATTGGTCGATGCCATTTACCGCACCCAGGTGCACTAGCACATTTAGGATTATTTATTTGTGGTGCAACCCACTCACCATCCATTTCACGATCCCTAAAAAATTAAATAAATAACTTAAAACAATTGAAACGGTTAATTTACTTGCATTCACGCCAATAGCTTTAATAAATTAAATACGCTAAGTATATATATATATATATATATATATATATATATATCACGAATAACTGACACTGGGCGTTAGTTACAGCCTTAAGTAAGACAGTAACAACAGATTAGAAAAAGCATGACCTAGCACAGCACTGGAATCGTTCCAGTTACTAGACATCCTACTAAAACAAAAACAGATGCTATGTCGAAGGAACAAGAGTAGATAAGTTCAATGAATATCTGTACTTTTCTGTTAAAATTATCTGAAAAAATGTTTGATGTCTCTAAATACCTGAATACCTGGAACGGAAACAAGTCCTAAATGTGTTTTACAGGTAATAAAAAACCCTGAGGTTAGGGTTGTCAATGAAGTGGAGATTAATTGAGTGATTTTGAGTAACTAAACTAATACTATACTAATGGTTAGTCACTTTTGTGTCCACACTATGACACTATTTACTGGACTTCAAGAGAACAGTGTGACTCGGGTATAAAAATAATATTAACACAAAAATGGAGGGCTTTCAGAAGTTCGGAAACAAGAAATAACGAAGTTACTACTTAAAATCTTTCTAACTCATCCCAGTTTTCTAACCGTACTGCAATCGACAACGTAAAACTTAGCACCAATGTTTATCAGTTCAAGTTACAACAGCTTATGCTGGTACAGAGTGAATCAACAGGATAAGAAATAGATGGAGGGAATATCAACTGAGTTGGACAAGTGTAATGAGTTCAGCAGATGTTTTCTTCAAGTTTCTCGTTTACTCTATAAGGAGGAATACATAATTAATTAAACTCCTAAATCTCAAAGTTAGGAGCTTAGGATCTCGTACGTTATACATCAATATATACCCCTTCAGCTTGAGGATTAGTAATTCCAACTGGTTAAGTTGACTAAACAAAGCGCAAGGCTCTTTAAATTTGCTGACCATACTATAAACGTGAACATGGTTTCGTCATACATAAAACAACCTAACTACTTAGAATCAATTTTGTTATTGAATATTGGCTCACTACTAGTAACATTTATTACATTGAACAGATAGTTGTAATATATAGTATAAAACAATCGGTAACTGTCTACATAAATGATGTATAAAACCTTTATATCAAGAAACTGGAAACTACCAGTTCTGCTCCTTTTAGATGTCATTAGCGTTAAGAAAAGAATTTGTCTATCTAGTTGTGGATTGGGATAAAAATGAAAAAAACTCACCAGTCTTTTGGAGGTACTGCAGCAGGGTCTGGAATCATCTCTGGTTCATCATCAAGCCACCCAGATGGTTTTACGGCACTCTCATCTTCGATAGTCGCGGGAGCATCTTCATCCCAGTCATCCGGCTTCTTGGCATTTGTATCGATAATCTTTTCTCTTTCATCCCAATCACTTGGTTTTTTATCCTCAGGATCATCAATTTCTTTGGGAGGATTAACTGGTGGACTAAAATAAGATTATTTACGTTTAGTGGATTTGTGTGAGGAAAAATATTACGCGAAACCGATGCTCTGGTTATCTTAAGATGTTAATCAAAATTCATCAGGAAATAAATTTGAAAAAAAACTGTCCAACCGATTCTAAAAACCAAATAAGTGAGACTATGCTAAGAACATGCTTTCTAAGGAGGGAAGATCAAGTTATAATGGTGACACATGTCCACTAATAAGATGGGATGTATATACATAGTATAATGTATATATTAACTGCTTGTGCCAATACCGATTTGCCATGTAAATTTAGTGAATCCGAAACGAGATAATAACATCAATCAAGAAGTTTGTTTTTTAGAACTACTAAGACCAGCATTTACACTAATGATGTACTTCTAATGATAACGTTTTCATTTCTTTGGGCGTTGTAACATGTTGATATTAGTGCACACAAGATTTCATCGTACTCTCTAGGAAATAACACTTTATCTGTGTTTTCAGTAATTTATCTCCTGCCAATGCACTTACAGACTTGAAATATGCAGAAATAACAACCCTGTTCTGTAAAGCGATTACAAAATAGTTCTTCGAAAATACTTAATCAAGGACTTTTGAGATTTGCTTTTCATTTTGTAAATGCAGAGTTAATTAAGTACTCCTTTCTGTTAAAGGCTGCTGGAAACTTATTTTCTTGAGATTTTAATCAGCGCTGCTGAACAGATCCCTGAGGAAATCTCAGCAAGAAATAAAAGGGGCTCTCCGATATGTTAATTCGAGCTTTGAATTGAAGTGTTTATGCTACCAAAAGGTAGAGCCCTTCATTAACTACCTGAATAAGACTCTAGAACCATTGTCTAAATGCCACCAACAATAACCTAATCCGAAAGAAAATAAACCAACTGCTAGTTATGAAGTTAAGAAAAAAACGTTAGGGGTGAATAAAACTTTTTCAACAGAAACCACCAAACTGGATCGCAGGGCTGGACCTAACTGGCTATTCTTTAGGCAAAAAGAAAAGAGCCGGACTAATGAACACACTGCTCCGAGAACTGGAGATAGACAAGATCATGAATACTATATGATACCAACTGGAAGGCCTAGGACAGAGTCGGCCGGCACTCTGTCTCAAGACGGGTAGCAAACTCAAATATTAGTATGGCAGTAATAATAGTGGTATGAAGCTATTTATCTACCGATTACATATTATGTAAGTATTTGAAGATGAAAGATAGGCATAATTCGCTTGCGTTTGATCATACGTATCAACGAAACATTGCTGGATATAATGGAATTACTGAATATCGATGAGTTTAGATTTGGGGTGTTGGGAAAACTTCAACTGGGTAAAACTAAAGCGATATCGACTGAACTGGTTTATACATGTGTTAATGAGTTCCATTTGAATTTCTAGTTCGGGTCCATTAAATGGTTTTTGTTTACACTTGGAAACTCCAAGTGTTACATCTCAAAAACAACTGAGGCAGCGTGAACGTACCCTTTATTTACATTTATTAGGATTTTAAGCTTTAATATTGCTAATTGCTTTGTATTTTCTTTCGAAACGTTCAGTTTTTAGGAACAAAGACACTAGTACCTTGGCATTTTCATTCATGTGTGACAACCGGAATAAAAGCATTTATCGGGATTCAAGTTTTAAGACTAATTCGCATGCGCATACTCTTTAGCCAGTCTTCAGAGTAATTACACCAAACACAATTTGATAATTCTTGTAAGTCTCTTTGAGTACAACGTTTAAATGTCGATTACATAGTTTATACAAGCATATATTTATTGAATAATATAGCTAATAATCTAAGTTTTTTGAGTTGGAAATAGGTTAATATTTAAGTCACTCTGTTAATGGCCAACTAAATTTGATAACGTAGTACACTGTATTGTGCAGAACTCGAAAAATACACCTACACAATCAAATGAGATGGAATGAATGTATTATAATCAGAAACCTAATTTCATTCATTTTAATATACTTTACATTTAACATTTAACCTTCCAACTTTGTAAAAGCTAGTCACTGTTTTAAGATTCAGAGGAAATGATAGGAGGAATGTAACTGTAACTAGTTTCGCTATTTCTGAAAACTGATCATGAGTAATACCATCTTATCTATTTATTTCATTTGAACACATAAATATTGTTATAAAGGAGGATCAAATACATATGCACCACAGAATAGCAATGGGAATGTAAAGAGATAGAGAATGTAAGGTGAGTATAAGAAAAAGGGGACCAATAACGAACAGAAATTAGTGTATGATAACGAGATGAAAATAATGGCAGAAGCAGTTCAGTTAGCAAAGGTACAACCATAAACAATTCTTCCAGTTAAAGAAGTTACTTCGAATTTTTATGCAGAAAGTAAAATAAAGGATCACCACTGGCTTCTATTCTGAGCCATATCTGATAGCCCCAAATGCCCTGGCACGGTCGAGAGTGGGGAGAGTCCGCTCTCCCTCTCCAAATGCTCTCACATGGCCACATGACCAATGCCAGGGAAGTCCTACTCATTGCCCTCTCGTGGCAGGGGTGTTGTTTACGAAATTGAAAGGAAGAAAAGCGAATGTCCGACGCTTTAACGGAGTTGGTAGATACACAGGGTGCACCTAGGGAGTTGGAAAACCCTGGTTCCAAACCAATGGTGCACATGGGTTCCAGGATCCTGAAGGAACCAATCGCGTGTGAACTAATTGTTGATCACTGGCTACCATGCGACTTCATCTCCTCCCGTTGGTTCACTGCCTTGTGGACCAGACCTTTAGGTCGAAGGTTCTGGGTTTCCCCCCCTAAGAAAACCACCTGCTTCGGTTTGGGCACCCGGGTAGCATCATAGCATACACACAAATCAAGTGACTGGTGTGGCACATATGTATTTTGTGCCTCCACTGTACCAATATTTGTGTTCAAATAAATAATAAATATCTGATAGCGTCTGTAGTTACTGTGTCGCATCATCACTAGGGTGTCGTGAAGGACCAACGGAAACCAGTCCTGTACAACTTTCTTCCATACCACAATACCATGTCATACACTGACCACCTCCTCGCTTTTCCAGTCAGTCCCAGCGTCGGCAAATAATGCACGACGAGGAATACTTTGGGACGACATTCCTAGAACATGTCCAAGCCACAAAAGTCGATGTTTCAAGATAGTGACACCAACTGAATTGTCATTGCTATGCCCGAACACATGATGCCGAATCTCTGCATTAATAACATGGTGTTGCCACTGGATGTCAGCAACCCTTCAGAGACAACGACGATCAAACAGAGTCGTCTAACAACCTCAACTCGGAGAGGCCAGGTTTCACAGGCATAGAGCATAGATCCGACCTTTTACAGACAGACAAACATCACGAATGCCTCAAACATGGCCCAGATTATCATAAGCTGCACTGGCTTTCACTATAAGTGAATTGATTTCATCACTCACGCCACTACCAGCACCTATGCGGCTACTCAGATACACGAACTTCTCGACTACTTTTATCTGCTTACCACCCATGGTGAGTGCAGAATTAGGGTCCTGATAGTCTTGTAAAAGTACTTTGCACTTCGAAGGTGCAAAGCACATACCATACAATTGTTCTTATCTGGTAGTATTCCCATACTGATATGGCTTACAACAGCCAATGATCGCATAGACTGATGTCAAATTTTCGCCAACCATCTTTAGACTTCTTCGGACCTACTATCATGACAACCAGTAATATAAGATCAGATAGGCAGTACAGAAGAGTATGAAAGTTATATTCCAGTCACTTCAATTGGTGAAGATTTATAATCTTGCCATTTCTGCCCGATAATCTGCAGCTAATTTTACATTAGTGATTACAGCATTTACGAGTGATACTTTCAACATATCTGTAATCGAGCATTAGAAACTCGTGTTTCAAGATGTTTTAAATAGCTATTTTGTTTGAAGAACTACATTGATACTTGTCCTTCAGTCATCACTTTTCTCATTATGAGACACAGACCGTTGATTGTGCAGGAAAGTGATCGACCATCCAACAACTTGCAAATATATTGGTGTCTTAGATATTTCAAGGATATGCAAAATGAACTTTACACATAGAAGTCCATGTGTCCTATTCATTTAGTTTCAAATTAAGTTGAAGCAATAACGCTCTCGTTTGATTTTCAGAACCGACCTATCATGAAATCGAAATAGTTGCTTGAAATGGGCACAGGATATAATGGTTTGATGTTAGCAAAATACAACTTTCCGACTGCTTCAAGAAATATCACAGGGACGACTGTATATATGTCAATATATGTCAATGGTTAGAGACCGGATGACATGGCCCAGAATTGCAATGAGTTAGATGCATTCGCTTTGTCCTGCTTTAGGTTCTAAGTAGCCTTGTACAAAATGTCTTTATTCCCACTTATTTCATTAATTCATATTTTCGTCTCGAAGCGTATTACTTATGCCTAATCTTCTCCATTACTACTGACACATACTACCTCTATTACCTTGGGATTCGCCTTGACAATTTTACTTTGCTGTGGTTTTGTGATGTGACAAATTAAACCAGTGTATACGTAAACCAAGTTCTGAGTTGCGTACAACTAAATATCCAGTCTTATGAGACCATACTATTTCGCCTACTTTTTCAATAACTACTGATGGTCAGACATAGCATAATAAAACATGGGACGACTATACACCAGACTTGGTTGCAACACATTTCCAGTTGACATAGAAAGAGGGAAGACGAGATGATATTAAACGTGGTGAAATCCAAACAGAAAATAGTTCCTAGCGAGACAAAAATCAAAGTATAGAGAGCAACAGCAACAGCAAAGTGATACTCAACTGAAATAACTATACTAAAAATATGTTAAATGCATGTTATCCGTTCCCATTCCTGACTTATTATACGTATTTTTGGATCTATGATAAGTGGATATTTTGTATTCACGGCCAAAGTAGGGTTTAGGGAGACAAAATTAGGACATCTTAGACTAAGATATAAAAATGCCAAAGAACTATACATCATAGACTTACTCAAAATCATTAAGTAGGCTGCCACTTTGCACCTTAATCTGGTCGATGTACCGCTCAAATGAGTTATCCGAACGTAAAACTACATCAAATATATGATGAGGTATTCAACTAACCTAATGTGTAAAGGTGAGTTTTCTTGTCTGAAAAGTATGACTCCAGTTCTGGAACAACCTTTTTAGCGTGTTTTTCCTCATACACACCAGTATTAGGATTCTTGTGCCGGAAAATAAAGTGGAACTGAAAATAAGAAAATTGGTTATTTTTCGAGTACTTTGTTTTCTAGTCCACATTTGTCAGGGCCGAACATAATTGTATAGGGGGTTTTGTCATTAAATTGTTTCTTAACGAAGTTAACAAGACTTTAAAGAATTTACCAGGTCCAAATTTGGTGAAGCACTCAGCAACTTTATGTAGGCACCACCACAATCGATTCCATCTTGAAACTTGACATCATACTGGATAACAAGCTCATTGGTGTCAAACTTTATTGGCCTGAACAATTTCGTTGAAACGGCGTGATGTTTGGCCTTGGATTTGAGAACCAGTGCATAATCATTTTCTATTGAACTGGCATATGGCACTTCAACAGACCAAACACCATCATACTTCGCAATAGAGTCATCCATACCATCTTTGCGTGCCTGGGAGACTACAAGCCTGGAGAGAGGGTTAAAAACAAGTCAGCTACCTCTCAGTAATATCCGATGGTGAGTTAAAGAACAGTACAAGGTAAGCATTTTTGGGGATATTCGGATTATTGAATGACGGCTAAGGAGTTTAGGATTAAAACGTACATACTTTCTTGTTTTCAACTTCAGGTGCTGAAGAAGCATCCTCAGCCTTACATATCCATAAACAGAAAGCCAAATACAACGCAAAACATCTTAAAGCCAACATGGTTTTACGCCCGTTCGTAAACTTGCGCCAGACTAGTTTTTAATCGTGCTTGTTCCTTATTGGTTAATTAGAATAATCGAAGCGATTAAAACAAGCAAAGTTAGATTCATTGGAAAGTCCACAAATTTAGAGTCACAAGTAGATTCTTCACACATGTGCGGTGTCAGTAATATCAGAAGACCGAATAAGTTGTTGGATCTGTGCTATATTCGTGAAGACTATCTAGCAACATTAGGCATCTGAATAGGATCATATTTCGGATTCCTGTTGCTGAAATCTAGTAGAACAATCAAATGTTAGAATCGTAGCCTTTTAAGCCTTTTCATAACCATATTTTGGTGTATATTGCACTTCATTCCTCGAGTTAACTTGACTGACCACGAAAAATTAAAAAGAACGACTCTTTTGAAACTAAATCCTACGAAATCACAAATCTGCACCTTTTCAGATATTCTGAGAAATAGGAACCTGTGTATTGCTGCATTTTAACTTTTCACAATTCCTCTATACATGAAACATTATTATGCAGTGGTCATGGTACTGTAGCTGTAAATAATTCCCCAAAATCAATAGCTTTCTAAATGTTCGACATTGGATGCTGACCACGTTGTTTAGGTGGACTTGTTTAACTGAAGGCTTTCGGTCATGCATCCGTACCAGATCATGTTGTAACTCGGCGTGGGACACAGCTCCTACGTTTCAATAGTCAGTTAAGAACGAACGCCTCTCGATATATTGGTAACTTATCAAACATATCTTTCCTACCTATTCTCGTCTGACTTCTGATTTCCTTTGGCCGGGAACGATCGAATACAGAAGGTGCTACTGGCAGCTAATTGTAAAGTTAGAATACCAGTCGTATCCTCAGTACTTTCGTTTTCTATTTCTTTGAAAACCAAGCATACTCGTCTTATCGACAACAGTATCTATAGCTTAATCAAACCTGAAGGTAAGTCCTGGACAAGTAGAGTTAAAGCTTTTCAAAAGCTTGAGTTTGACATTATTTGGGAATCTTTACTCAGGCAAACGATTTACAAGTAAAACAGTCGATACTGGACTACAACTCCTAGCAGCCTACGACTACACGGTGTTGTGCAGGGTAATGTCTTGGGTCCATTGCTCTTTATAATCTACATCAACAAAATATACGAGTGAATTAGCACCTACCTCTACGCTGATGACTTAAAAGTCATCTATAAAACTGACATTTACGATGTACGTAGTACTATGCAAATAATCCAACATGAACTCAACACGGTAGACAACTGGTACAAACGCTGTAGGTTAGAGCTCAACACAGAGAAATAAGGTTGGCTATGTATTGGAGACATATCTCTCAAAACAGAACTAGCACTTAACAAAACACACCGCCCAGACTAACATCAGTAACTGACCTATGGGTACATTACTCAGACAGTCTTAACTTCTCAGAACATATCCCAGCTAAAGCATCTAAAATGCGGAGATCGCTTACCTTTATTCTTCGTAATTTCTTTCAAAACAAAACTAAAATCATTCTTTATAGTCTGTGTAAGACCTGTCGTCGAATACTGCTCGTTCTTATTTTTCAACCTACACCTATCCCATATACTTAAGGTGGAAGGAATATAACGAGATTTCATTCACAAAATACTTGAGAATGACTCATTCATTGACTACAGTTCCCGATGTCATATCTTAGGATTAGAACCCCTTTGGAGAAGAAGGCTCAGGTGCAATTTGATTCTCTGTTTCAAACTCCTCAAAAACCTTACTTATTCCACAGTAATATAGTTTTCGGTAGGATTAAACTATACTGCCGTGCCAATCAGAAGCTTTCGCGAGTTTTCAAGGTCACGGCTCTAAGTTCGGTACCTGATACTTAGCTACGGTCGGTTAGCAGCGGATTTTAGGGAAGACGTGATAATTTAGCGTCTACAATAGAAGTGATCATAAGATTTTGGCGAGAAATTCAATTATCCATTTGGATAAATAGAGTTTTTGCATTATAGCTGATGTCAGTTCGTGATGAAAACCCTAAGTATAATTACTAGCCTTAATCATGAACTGTAAATCATAATTTGAATTCTTCACACAGGTTTATAACCCTCATTTGGTCTTAGTTATTATGTTGACACTCTCAGAGTCACTCTAGCGTCGCTCAAAGGTTGACCACAACTTATAGTCTTGTGGAGATAGAACCTTAAAACCTATTTTGTAAATAATTTTTCATAGTTTTCGCATGTATTTTCATATTCTGTACATTAAGCATTAAACAATTGTACTTGTTGTTTAAGTGTATTACTTTGAACGCTTGTAACTCGACTTCCTTCCGTTTTGAGTACAACATATCGTGACACTGTTACTGCTTCTCAATAAATGCACTCTAATTCACATCTGCATCGTTCTGCCATGTCTGCTAATATGTTGAATGAAATATTGATTGCATACCATCTACGTTTATAGACAACTACGACATTCTTATTGAATTCTACGCTTGGTAAACCTACTGGATCTATATCGTCCATATTTGGATTACTAATTTTTTATAATTGTGGATTATTTGGACCAAACCCAGCCGAACACGCAATAGCCTGAAGACTTAAGTAACGTCCCTTATTTTGTTATTTGTGTGTGTAATTAACGTAGGAGCTGTGTCCCACGCCGTGTTGAAACGTGATCTGGTGCGGATGAATGTTCGAAAGCCTTCAGCTAAACAAGTCCACTTAAACAACGTGGTCAGCATTCAATGTCGAACACTTAATGAGCTATTGATTTTGGGGAATTATTTACAGCTACAACACGTTTTCCTCCCTAATTCTTTTCACTTGAAGTAAACAGGCAACTCACTGAATCTATCAAGTCAAAAGAACCACACTATGGACTTCCTACTACCAGCGGTCTTGCATCTGTAGGACCTGTCACCCATCAACCGGTTAGGATAGAACAAAATAACATCAGCATGAGGTTAATGATTATGCTCTGAGGGCAAAGCTGTGGAACTCCTGACCTCTTGAACAAACTCGACGTACGTGTTCTCTCAAGGTCATAATTCACATCAAGCGCTCCATAAGTATACTTTATACCAACTATAAACTTGAAAAGTTGCATTGCATCAATACTTGTACGACCAAAATCCTAACACAGTTTCGCCGAGATAGGATCTGGGGCGCAACTTGGCCGCGATGCCCCTTTGGAAAATATTTCGAGGACTATTCAGTATATCTGAACGAATGAACCGATATTCATTTTTCCAGATTATATTTACATAGCAACCCTGCTTGGGATAAATACTGTGAACCAGTAGATGTTGTAACTTGTAAATCATGCCTGTAAAAGTTGCGTGTATATGTCTTTGCCGAAATATATTATTAAGCAAAATACTAAATTAACTTTTGGTACCAAGCAAATTCACATCTGATTGTCAAGATGGGTGGTGTTACAGGTCCGATATCAGAGCACAACATGCCACGCGCTGTCCCTCAAACTGGCCAATTGAACGAGAAGACAAGAATGTAAAAGGCGGGTGGTAGGACGGCAACCTGAAATGTGTAATTGTGTTTTTTAAGTAGAAGTTGGAGAAGACCTATGACGTAAACTGAGGTTGATTGTCTGTTTTTAGTGTTTTCTGAAAGCGAAGTTGCTCGAAAAACCTGTTTAGCAACAATTTTTCGATGTTGATGAGGTATGAAGCAATAAAAAAATCTCTCACCATTTTGTAAATGAGTCGGTGATAAAAAGAAAGAGTTGACCATTTAGCAATTCAGAAAAATCAGTATGAACACGGGACCATGGTTTTTCCGAACCTGGCCATGTGGATGTATATATTTTCGATGGTACGTTTGCGATTTGAACGCATTGTGGTCATTTATTTACGATGCTTTCAAAGTCATCATCCATCACTAGCTGATATACAAGCTACAAACAGGTGACTTTATACGCTGCACTCCAGAGTGACCTGAGTGCGGTTATTTCAATACTGGGGATTTGAGAGCGGTTGGAATAACTAGGATTTCGCCAAACAGTAAACACTATTTGATAAAAGGCAACGCTATACGTCATCATAAATGGTCTATTAAAGCATAACCCACTTTGGTTCACCAGCCGTCATGCACATATTTCGCAACTTGCTGAAGTTCGTAATCCGATATCGTAGAATCCCGGAAAAATTTGCCGTTACTAGTAAGGTATCGATCACGTCCGACATTAGTCTTTTCACTCGTGCCTCATTTGATAATGTCATAAAGGCGAGATCTTCGTCGATTGGTCGGTTTGAGATTACTAACATCGATAACTCAGTCTGTCAAAGATTGGTTGTCGGCATGCATTTGAACGTAAAATGCCAACCAAGAAGGAATGTAACCACACGCTGCAAGCAATTTGCGGTGTATATTGGGATGCTTTTCTTTGGACCAAAAGTTAATAAAAGGAGCTTATGGTCTACCAAGACAGTGAACTGTCGTTCACAGACCATTTTACGAAAATGTTTGACTGCAAAGTTAGTTGCCAATGCTTCTTTTTCTATTTGCCTGTGATTTCTTTCGGGATAATATAATATCCTGGATGTATGTGTTGTAGCCTTCTGAGAACCGTCCGTGAAAATGTGTGAAATAAGGGCTAAGGGTTCAGAGTTCAGTGCCTCAAGGGCAGTAAATACTTCGAGGATAGTGTTAAGAAGTGCTAGTAGTCTAGCTGATGAGAGAACTTTCCTAATGTTCATTTAAAGTTGAGGAGATCGGTGTCATTTCGTCTCTTCACTCAGGAGTTCATTTACAGGCATGTTATGTTAACGACTAGATGGAAGGAATTGGACTTAATAATTTATCAACTCAATGAATAATTGTAGGGAGTTTAGGTCAGATGGAGGTGACATCCGCTTTATGGCTTTACTATTCTATGGATCATGTCTTATTCCGCAGCTATCAACAATACGTCCAGATTACTTGATTGAAGTCATAAGGAAGTTATATTTCTCTTTTTTGGTTTGAAACTATGATCTTTAATATGTACGAAAGTCATTTTTATTCGTTCAAACCATTTTTCTGTAAAAAAAGATAATTTCACCCGTGTAAACCAAAG